CGGCGCCGCGCGAGTGGTAAGCGCTCCGCCTCCATTTTCGTTATACTGCACTTAGTGACACACTTTCCTGCTTCCAAAGGCGAGGTCCAGGTTGCCTTCGCGAGGTGCACATACAAATGTTACTGTTCTAAGTAACAGTGAAAAATATGCCATAAAGACCGCAGAAAGCAAATGGACTGAAACAATTTTTGGTCTAAGCATATAACAGACGGTGAGGCGACAGAGAGAGTAAGAGATACGGACGATGGCGAAGGTGTACGCAAATGATTGAGACTCCAATACTGTGGCGGCCAGTCGCAATGAGAAGGGAGGAAGACAACTAAGAGGGCTTGTTATGAGTGACCTGACGCGTTCTTATAAAGCACTTTCGAGTCGCAAACTTGGCTTATCCCCTGCGACGGCAAACCGCGCCGCCTTCAGCAAGGAAGACTTTTGCATGTCGGGTAATTGCCTATTCTGTCTTTAGGCAGGTAGAAGAGAAATCGAAGAAGCAACCCGAGTGGGCGAGAACGCATTGCAGAATAGAGAACAGGAACATACGACTCGGTGGAGCAAGGACATTGAGAGCAACTCTCAATAAAATGTAAAGTAATGTACGGCCATGTGCGGCCCAATCCATGAAGTCGCTGAAGAATGGCTCGAAAATGCTGCAGTACTCCATCCCCTAGCGCCGATTTACAAATAAGAGCTATAGTTTAAGCCATACGTTGGAGAACAAACTTCTTGCCGCAATCGAGGAGAAAAACAGCCCGCAGCTAACTCTATTGGGTTGCTTCGCGACATTACCTTTGCAGTGCAAGGTCCTACTCTCAAGAGCGCTACTCAACCGAAGCTTCCAAGATGAAGTTACCAGATACTTGAGATGAATTTCCCTGACGCACTTCACACTACTATGGATCACGAAAGATCTCCTCGTGACGTATAATGGACAAGCTGATAGCAAAAAAGCAGTCGTCAATGTTTCATTAAACCTCACCTTCGAACAATCTGCATGAACGAATTCGACGGGAAATAAGCCACCTCGCTCACGTTGTGCCATTTCATCGTACCTCTCCTTGGCTTGATTGAGTGACACCTGTGCGACATCTGAATAGTTGGGAGAGGGCAATGGATCAACGGAAATCAATAAGATCACTTGCTCATCACATGAGTGGGTAAGTACGAACCAGCCATCACAACACTATCTACATTTGCGATGTTCCATTTCCTGAGATCTCCACCTTTACCACACGCCAGATCCAAGACGCGTGGCCGAAACATTTTGTTAACACTCTCCTCTCGTAGCAGCTGAAGTGATTCATCTAAAAATAAATTGTTCTCAAATGCACAACGAAAACACAACACAATGCAAGCGAATAACATCCAGTGGTCACTGGACACACCAATGCACCCAAAGGGGTATAGTCACTCAGGAAATAAAAGACGCAACATTACGCGGAACCCAGCATTCCTAGCTTGACTCGACATAGCATTTAGGCGCCAATTTAATTAAGTTATGGAACCCACGTCCTCTTCATGGCATTATCTCATGAAAATTCGGAAAATTCGATCGATAAATTGCATTCTTCAGTGGTGCAAACTGAGTTCGGGCCACATGGCGGCGCGTCTCGTGAGAAGTATTTGCGATTTTTGAGGCTCCCCTCGTTCGAAAATAGGCAGTTGTGTGGATTAAATGTTAATGGCAAGGTGGCGGACAACACAAAAGTGAAGAGAAAAGCAGAAAAAATCTGCTCGGAATGTCTCATTCTGAACCCCAGGCCGAGCAGCGTTTGCAGGAGCGTAAGGCGAAGAGAGGGCATACTTGGACGAGTTTCCTCTCCGTTGATGTCATCTCTTTCTCCCTATAACCTAACTCTCACCGCTCAAACTGAAGAGAGGCGGCAGCGGAACAATCGCGCCCTCAGGCTGCGCTCAGAAATGAAACCTGGGCGTTGTCGCGGGCAATGGGCGGGGTCGCGGCTTCGTCGCAAGCGTGTCGCGTTCCTCACGTATTTTTGAGCTGTGGAAGAAGTACATCCCACCCAGTGAAGACGTCTAGGATCGTGGACCGCATTTTGAGAGCGAACTAAACTTAAGGGAACTGGGAAGAAAATAGCAGCGGTTACGACGGTCATATTGAGTTGCCGAGAGAAAACCAAAAAAAAAGAAATCGGATGTAAAAAAAAAGAAGAAACTGGATGTATTAGATCCACAAGGGTCACACGAATAAGCAGTGAAAAGCATAGTTCTTCAATAAATCAGCTCAACCTACTTATTAGTTCGCTCTTCATCCAATTATTCAGATTTCCTTAGGTAAAATATCCGACTTTCAGCTCGGCCAGCTAGACCTTGTTGTTGCACAGTGTTGTAGTGATGAGCTACTGTTTCCGAACTCATCTGTGACACGGTACTAATAAAATGTGAAGGTTTTTTGAGAACGTAGTAAGAATATTCCTTAGAATATGGATTGATGTCCAAGTCATTCAACACTTCAAAATCTATTACCAATATTTATTAGCATATCTATTTAACAAAGATAACATACGCCAACAGATGTCGAACAGGCAATTCCACAGGCTAATTAATGTACAAGTTCCCAAGTAACTTCAACATTGGCTTTAGAGAGGTTTTTATCGGTAACAACCACAATATCGGAAAGGTATCTAGCCAAAGCGAAATTACAGATGAAGGAGGGGCGCAAGGTTACAACCGCAGCTTTGCATGCGATAAACTTCATCAGTGATCAGGATGCTCATTCCTCACAGGAACTCTTCTTCTGCGGACGCGTTGTCTGCAGAACAGGGATATACGGGATCCTCCTCGTCCTCACTGTCCGAGGAAGCACTGTCGCTAAAGCGATATCTACTTTACTCCAAGTTACAACATTTACGGAATTACACCAGTGCCTCTATATAATTTGGCTGAATAGTACAAATACATCTTACAGTCTTCATATTGAGCCTTGTTGAAAACTCTACACGATATGTTATATGAAGGACGCGTCCTGCATTTGCAAAATACCACCCCCTCATAATTTCCTCCTCTCTGGGAAGTCATCGGCGTTCTATCCTACCAACCATGTCCCACAATCTTGCTCCTGCGAAAGCGGGCCTGGTTTTCAGAGCACCTCCACTGTGAAGCGTATGGGGTGGGAAAAACTCATGTGGCATGAATCTCTATATCGTGATATTGCCTTCTACCTGTGTGAAATTGAGGTAACCCCAGCTCAATGCAGCAGCATGGATCCGTCGGCGCAGTCGAGGACATGGCCGCGTTTCCACAAAGAGCCTGATATCACCTCTATGCTGCAGCCCTTACACACCATAAAAGCAGAAGGCGTAAGTAAAGCCTATCGAGCTGTCTAGATGAAAAGTGGCTTAACGGGAAGGGGGAAGATCCTCATACTGTGGCTGAAGGTGACTTTCAAAGCGAAGTCCGCGACGGACGAATTTTCGCCACAGTTAAGCCACGGCAAAGATGCTGCACTCAAGAGAGAGAACACCTCCTAGTTTCCAGCGCCATGTAGATCTCCGTTCTAGATATGTTTGAATGAAGTTATGGCCTTTAAAAGGTGAGAAAACTCGCGTTCGCCAAAATTCTCCGCGTTATTTGTTGACCTGAAGCCGTCATGCAAGCTTGATGAAAGCTGTAGTGTATTTCGTACAGACCCCGCCCATTCAATATGAATCGTTCTCATCACTCTGTGAAAGATGGTGTTCGAATGAAGTTATACCCTTTGAAAAAAAAACTATGCGAATACAATGAACCTATAGAGCACCAATCTCAATACGCGTCGCGGCTGCAGTGCACTCAATGGTGTTGTTCTTGCTTGGTCGGCACCAGTTTCAGGATTTTTTTCGAAGGTCCACTTTGTGCACTTCCAGCCACCCAATTTTCCGTGACGTTAAGCCCTGCCGTAACCTTGACCCAAGCTCAAGTTTGATCTTTTTCGTCGTCTTCAGAGACCTAAGATTTCAGCACATGTTCGAAATGTTTATGTGGAGTATCAGCCCACAATCCTTATTACTCGTTACGTTGGGGTTTCTTCGAATCATTGAAATCCTAATTTTGATCTGCGGTTCCTACATCCTTTAGTCATCCAAAAGTCCGTGAACAAGTTGAGGACTCCATGCTCACAAGCTTGAACACTTCCTGGTGAACGCTGTTCTCATGAGCTGCCTAAAAGCCCCAAGTGTTCAAAACGTCCCAGCATGCTGCAAGGCAAGCAACTGCATGATTTTGTCCTTCAGGACGCCCTTCAAGATCACGCGCATCCGCGGCGGTCAGAGGGCGTCGATGTCCGTCTTTAATGAGCTCTAGAGAATGGGATACAACGATCACCAGTGGTCGACCGGTAGGGTTACCTTCAGCGATGTGGAGTCGTCATTTTCAAACTTTCGGAGCAAATTCTCAGGGGTGGGATAGAAGATCGTTCCCTCACCCAAAGAAGAATATATATCCACAATAGTGTCGACTCAGTTCCGGTCCAGAGGATATTCGTAAAACAAATGGGTCCAAACCTGCTTGTGTGGTCGATGTTTGGCACCATAATGGTAGGGGACCCCAG